AAATTTAATTATTATAAAGGTTTCATTTATTTATTTATTTATTTTTATTTATTTATTTTTTTTTTTTTTGAGATGGTCTCGATCTGTTGCCCAGGCTGGAGTGCAGTGGTGTGATCTCCGCTCACTGCAACCTCCACCTCCCAGGTTCACGCCATTTTCCTGCCTCAGCCTCCCAAGTAGCTGTGACTACAGGCACCTGCCACCATACCACACTAATTTTTTTGTATTTTTAGTAGAGATGGGGTTTCACTGTGTTAGCCAGGACATGTCTCAATCTCCTGACCTCATGATCTGCCCGCCTTGGCCTCCCAAAGTGCTGGGATTATAGGCGTGAGCCACCGCATCCGGCCTACAAAGGTTTTTTTTATATAATATGTTTAACACCGGGAAGTATCTACCTCAAAAAAAGCACCTACTACTTTTTATCTTTAGGGATCTATCCTCTTAAGCACTGACATGCAACATGCATAGCTTGGAAGATTTATTGAAGCATAATAGTTGTTTGCAAAGCAGCACAACAATTTAGGGCAGTCAAAATTGCCAAACCACGCTATATGGAATGTTATAATTATTCTTAGTAGAGATCCATCCATGAATGGGAGTCATCTCTGTCAATTAACCAAGTAAGCTAATTCCACTATAGATAAATGTTTGATTTTAATATCAAATTCTATAGGTATTGGGAAGACATTGCTTAACAAGCATTTAGAATAGAAGGGTGCAGTTGTGGTTTAAAAAAGAGAAAATGGAAAAAGAAAGACAAATATCCAATTTTTAACATCAGGAAATATTATGATAGACAAATATCCAATTTTTTAATATCAGAAAACATTCTTATCTTACAGAATAGGTGAGAGGAAACTCACAGTATTTGTCAACTTATGTAATCCATCTTTTATATACTTAAAGAGGTGTACATGTAAATGTTTCTACTCACACATATAAATGTATTATTTTTGCTTTGGACAATCATTTTATTTACTATTCTTTTTCCTGTACACAAATATATCAATTTGCAATCACTCATTTCCAAGGTTGTCCAAGTACATTAAAATAAAGACTTACATTTGGATTATAACACTACTAAAAGATGTGGATTCTTCATATTCTGGATTCTAAATGTACTAAGGACACATTTAGACTATCAATTGGGACACGAGAACCTGCTTGAACTCCACATTGACAACACTAAGAGTCAATGTATATTTAACTCAAATTGCCCATTAAAATTTCAGCTATACTGAAACTCCAACAATGAAAATACTATACAGCTATCTTTCCTGGATAACCTTATCTCTATTCCTGGATTCCTGTTGGATGGTTGATTGGATTCAAGAGTCACATGCCTAATCTCTTTAGCAAAATTTGTCTAACCCATCCATGATGCTCTCTTTAGAGGATTCGAAATTTCCCATCTTCTGCAATATGAATAGGCCAAGAATTTTCCAAACCATCAAGTCTGATTGCCTTTTTTGCTTATCAGTTTCTTTCTCAATGTATATCTTCCCTCACACATTTTGCTATAAGCTTAAGGAGAAACAAAGGCATAACTTTTCTATTTTGCTTAGAAAGCTCCTCAGGTGATTATCTAAGTTCATTGTTTACAAGCTCTAATCTCTACCCAACACTAGAACACAATTCAACCAAATTTGCTACCACTCTATCACAAGGATTGCTTTCCCTCCTGCGTCCAATAACATGACCCTCTTTTCTTTCTGAACCCTTGCCAGATACACTTTAAACCTTTGTATTTACACCAACAGTCGTTCCAAGGCAATCTAAGTTTTTTTCTATCATGTGCCTCAAAATTCTTCCAACCTTTGCTCATTACTCAATTCCAAAGCCACTTTCCTATTTTAAGGTATTTATTCCAGTGGCACTAAACGTCTAGTACCAAACTCTGTATTTGTTTTCAAGGGCTGCAGTAACAAAGTGCTACAAACAGGGCATCTTAAAAGAATGTAAGTTTATTCTCTCACAGTTCTGGAAACCAGAAGTCTCAAATCAAGATGTCTGCAGGCAGGGCCGTACTCCCTCTGTGGGCTTAGAGAAGAATCCCTCTTTGCCTCTTTCTAACTTCTGATGGTTGCTGGCGATCCTTCGCATTTCTTAGTTTGCAGCTGTATCACTTCAACCTCTGCTTCCATCTTCGCCTAGTCTACTCTGTCTTGTCCGTCTCTGTATCTCTCCAAATCTCACACTCCTTATAAGGACACCAGTCATTGGATTTAGCATCCCCACCCCTTAATCCAGTATGACCTCATCTTAACTTGATGATAGCTGGTAAGACCCTATGTCCAAATAAGGTCACCTTCATTGGTATTTGGGTTAGGATTTAAATCTTTTATGAGGACACAGTTCAACCCGTAACAGCACACATGTGGTGAAATTAAATTAGCACACATCAAATGGAAAGTATGTTTAATGGTAATCCTTCCCTCTCCTCCCCTCCCTCTCTCTCTTTTGAGACAGAGTCTCGCTCTGTCACCCTGGAGTGCAATAGCACAATCTTGGCTCACTGTAACGTCCACCGCCTGGGTTCAAGCAATTCTTGTGCCTCAACCTCTTGGGTAGCTAGGACCACGGGTGTATACCACCATGCCTGGCTAACTTTTTTGTATTTGTAGTAGAGATGGAGTTTTGTCATGTTGCCCAGGCTGATCTCAAACTCCTGAGCTCAAGTGATCCTTCTGCCTCAGACTTTCAAAGTGCTGGAATTACAGGTGTGAGCCACGGCACTCAGCAATGGTAGCCTTTTTTGATCTCCTTCCCTCCCCACTCATTTTCACAGTATTATCCTTGACACTTCTTATCCCACAGATGGAAAATAAGTGAGTAACTTTCTCATTTTTTTGGTCTACTCTTTGGCTCTAAGTTTTCATAATTCTGTAGGAAAGAGGTCATTCTGTGTATCTAAGATACTAGGACCTTTATTCGCTGATTTAGTTTATTTACATATGACTGTAGACTTGGCTGAACGCTTTTTCCTAGCCTGAATGAAATACTATGATAAATGTTTCAATACTAGAAATAAAATATAGCCTTTAATAAATCACGAAAATCTGATGTTCCTTTGTGAAAACTTCATGTAATTAATAGGGGAAAAAAAGAAAAACTAAATAAAAAAGAAAAATGTAATCAAGTAGGTTGACAACCAGCAAAAGATAATTAAAATGATCCTGTTTTGTGTCTCGGTTTCATTAACATGTAAATGAGATTCATGAAGTTTGATATTGTGTTTTACCAAGAGCCATAGAAATGAATTAAGAATGAAAATGAGTCCCACTGATGGAAACTCCTGATGAGTATATAAATTAATGAAAAATATGATTTGATCTAATTAATAACATATATTTTTGTGATGTATTGAACATCAACAAAGGAAATCAAGATAAACAGGTAAATTAAAACATTGTGTTCCTTTCACTGGCCCACATTCTGTGAAGCTTTTATGACTCAGATGAAGTGGTGGTAAATGTCAAACTCTGCTGTTCTTTATAAAGAAGCCCAGGATGGAGACCCTATTCCAGGATTAGCATTGCAATAACAGCATTCCTGCTGGTGGCTCCATAGGTATAAGGTCTGGAATGGCCATCAGAGAGGCTAGGAAAGTCCACTGATTGGTCAGGGACTCCGAATTGCAAAGAGGAAGAGACAGTCCTGTGTGACCAATAACTCTCACTGCAAGTCACTCAAAAGGAACAGGCTAGCATGATCCACTCAAATACATTCAAGCACCCCCGCAATTTCCCATTTGATAGAAGGATCTCAGTTCTCACTCTCCAGTGACATCTTCACATTCAGAAGCACACAAAAGTGGGTATCTCCAATAATATGAAATGAAATCTTTAAACTTAAGCTTAAAATCATGTTAAAGTGTTATATCTAGATTGTAATGAGAACTATGCGTGATATATATCATGTATACCAGATGGCAAAATACACACACACACACACATTTACCTATTTGTCATGTCCAATGTTCAATGTGCTCAAGCATTAAGCACATATTAAGGATAACATCAAAGAGTAAAATTAGAAGTGACTGACTGATGTTGGCATGAGAGGAAGAGGAAAATAAATGGGAGAAACATGGTTTTAATAATGCATGATGTTGTTGTCCGCTTTTTATGATTGTTAAAATGTTTTCTGTATTAGCATTGCCAAGCGTGATCACAGTGATCCTCTGTCTCTAAGTACACAGTGTTTTTGAAATTCTGTCTTATTTCTACAGCAAGGTGCCATTTAATTATCTTTAGTTTCCTTTTAACATATTCAAGTGTCTTTGAAACAGGGTCTCACTCTGTCACCTACGCGCTAGTTCAGTGGCACAATCATAGCTCACTGTAGTCTCCAACTGCTGGGTTCAGTGGTCCTCCTGCTTCAGCCATAGCTGGGACTACAGGCATACACCACAGGTGAATTTATTTTTTATTATTTTGTAGAGACAAGGTCTGGCTGTGTTGCCCAGGCTGGTCTCGAACTCCTGACCTCAAGTGATCCTCCCACCTCAGCCTCCTAAAGTGTTGGCGTTATACGCATGAACCGCCACACCTGGCTTAGTACTCCAAAAGGACCATGAAAATCTTGTTATGTTCTTATTCTTCAACTGATAAGAAAATCAACCGCACTGAGAATCCAAAACACAGTGGGATCATTATTTTTAAATCATTAGCATTTTCGAAAATTACTTAACTTGAAACTGAAGGCCAATTAAGTTTTCATCCCTAATGTGCCCATAAGGATTGTATATTATTGTAGAAAATATTTTGTAAGATATATAAAAACCTCATCAGATTGAAGGAACTCAACTCTCTGTAATATATGATGTGTCTCTTTCACATTCCAGAACAGAAGCTAGATGTCATATACGTCTCATGAGTTTTAACCATTTGCTTGTTTAGAAATTTACTTTTACAATATATCATTCATAATGATTTTATGCAAAGATAATGAAAAACTAGTGAGATGGGCCAGTCAGAGGAGAAAAGCAGACTCACCATCTCTTCTATTCAGCCTTGCGAATCCAGGACCATGACTGCTGGAGAGCTCGGAAGAACTGCTGAAGGATGCCTGAGGCAAGGCAGACACAAGAGGATCATCACAGTCATCTGCCAGGAGGAACAAGGCCACATTGGGGTTAGATAGTGCTGATGGCTTTTGTGGAATCAATAGACAAAACAACAAACAAGTAAAACAACAACATCAAAAACTAGGATCTAAGATCTCTAAAAATATGCCTACTACTTACAGGGGCTATTCTACTAGAAGTCTAGTAAGTTCAGTGAGAAAAGAAAAAGAACCTGAAGACAGGAGAATATGAAAGTATTTTTAAAATCATAAAATTATATAATAAAATAATATCTTAAGGTAGAAAGGGTTATACCTCATTATAAAAGATTCGCAAATTTAGCTGTACAAAAATTAAATACCTAAGGTTTCCAAAAGACACTGTGAAGAAATTAAAAAGAAAAATCACAAAATGGAGAAAGTACTTGAAAAACCTATAACCTAGTATACAATTAGTATTCCAAATAAAGGAAAATAAAATACAAAATAAAGTAAAACAAAAACCACCTTTAAATCATGACACACATTAACAAAAATAACACAAGGCACGATCAGACTTCACAGTACAGCCTGATGTGGTGGCTTACACTTGTAGTCCCAGCACTTTGGGAGGCTGAGGCAGGCGAATTACTTGAGGTCAGGAGTTCAAGACAAGCCTGCCCAACATGGTGAAACTCCATCTCTACTAGAAATAAAAAATTAGCAGGGTGTGGTGGCACATGCCTGTAGTCTCAGCTGCTAGGGAGGCTGAGGCAGGAGAATTGCTTCAACCCGAGAAGCGGAGGTTGCAGTGAGCCAAGATCACACCACTGCACTCCAGCCTGGGTGACACAGTAAGACTCTGTCTCAAAAAACAGACTTCACAGCACAGATCCTATATAAATTGATCCTCAAACTTCTCAGCAAAAAGAGATGTAAACTGGGACTACGAAAGGATACTAATTTATGGACATTAGACTGGCAAAATGTAGGTCAAGAGAAGCTCTGACACATTGCTCGTGGGAGTATAAACTTGAGCAACCACTTTAATAAAAACCACTTTTCATTAGTTGTATATCTGAACTTTCCCATACCCTGTGTTCCACCAGTTCCTTTAATGTACGTAGCTCCTCCTATGATGAACCCTTGGTCTCAAGGAGTTTTGTCTTTTTACCCAAAGGTGATATACAAATACTAGTAATTTTGTGTCCATGAAAATAAAAAAGTACTCAGAGGAGCTTGCATTTGTGCACCAGGAGACATGTATGATTTCTAGCAACGTTGCTCATAATAGCAAAAAAAAAAAAATTGACAAAAAGATATCCAATGGCCAAAGAACAAATAAAACAGAGTGCTTTTCACAATAGAATAATATACACCAGTAAAAGAAACACCACCACAAAACAGAATAGTTGAATCTTGGAAGTGACATTTTTGAGAAAAACTAGTTATAAAATAATATATAATATGTTGATAGTTTTGAAAATCTTAAAAAGCAAAGCTAAGTAATACTGTATGTTGTTTAGAGACATATATGAGTTTTAAAAACTACTTTTACAAAAAGAAATGAAAGTTACAAAACTCAGGATCTGGGCTACCTTGAGAGAAAAGCGGAATCAACATACATGTATACAGTTTTAATGTGATGGAATGCTCTCATTTGGGGGTAGGTGGTGTCAGAGGTGTTAGAACCAGAGTGACTCCATCTTGAGTGAGGGCCAGGGAAACGAGGCTGAGACTTGCTGGGCTGCATTTCCAGAAAGTTAGGGATTCCTAGCCTCTAGACGCTTAGAGTTAAGGGAACAGATTGATAATGTTTACTAAACAGACCCAGACTTAGGCGTGTCCTGATATCCCAGTATCTTGAGAACAAAAGCATTCCTAATTTTGCTTTAAAGATATTAGTTGATTCTTGCAAAATATAGTAATTAAGAAAATTAATCCTTTATCACGAACCCTTGTAGCAGAGCTCATCTCCCTATGATCTTTTCTAATCCTATATAAATACACACACACACACAAAAGTATTTGTACCAAGCGTGGACGCATTATTCCTCTTTCTTTCAGGAATGCCCTACTCTGTCTATGGAGTTGCTGAACTTTCACCACTTTACTTTCTTAATAAACCTGCTTTTGCTTTGCATTGCTGACTCGTCCTGAATTCTTTCTTGCGCAAGATCCAAGAACCCTTTCTTGGGGTCTGGATTGGGACCCCTTTGTGGTAATAGTGGCATAGTCATAGGCTTCTAATTATGTTTCATATAAAATATATAACATACACATGCACATACATTCACATATGTATCAATATGTACATATACATATTAATGTGCATACATATTTATTGTCTATCTACCCTTTTATGTGTATCACATATATTGCTTCTAATATTAAAAGATAAAGCACAAAGAACGAGGGAAAGCATAAGAATAATCTCATGTGTATCATGAAATCCGTACATGTTTAATTTATTCAGCCAATTCCTCATTCGATGTCATCTTTAAAGCATTTGCCTTTTATATTATACTCTTAAGCTGTTCCCATTTTTGCTCTAATCAGAAAAATATTCTCTCCCATTTAGTTTTTAACATATACATTCTGTAATTTAAAATTATACAGGGTTACTGTCCCAAATGTTTTAATCAATGGTGATTTAATTTAAACAAAATAAATCTAAAATTATCTAGATTCACCTGAAATTTTATTAAGTTTATTATACCTGAACCTAATTTGTTCTTGAATGCCTTTCCCAAGAACTTACCTGAGGTAGCATTTTACTTTTCAAGATTGTCTCAATTTCATTCAAAGTCTACTTTTTCTTACTCTTACCTTAAATTCTTTCACCATCACGACAGACAGCTCCTGCATGTCTATTGACTAGCTTAAGTACTAACGCCAGCCAATCCAGTTGTAATTCAAGAATAAAGAGTGTAGACACAGACAAATATACAACCCATGGAGGGGTGAAGGAAATTCTGATTATTGCCAATTACAGGCAACAACAAAAATGTTTTAGTATGCTGTGGAAACTATGGCGTGTATGTTTACGCACACAAGTCAGTGCATTCCATATATGGAAGGAGGACTTATATGTGGGTGTGTGTTTACTAGAACTAGGAATTTTTAAAATCATTTTCAGCTTGCAGGTATAAATGTGGTGAAAGGGGTGTTTAATTGCAATTCACAATCAATTATGTAGATTCAGGTTGATGTTTTGGATGTAGCCTCTCTGGTGCAATCACTCTAGGGAACATATATTTATTGTTCATTTGTTTTTGCCAACTATAAATTAAGAATCAATATTGTTCTACCTCTAACTTTAAAAGAGCAGAATTAAAACAAATGAAGGGGTACTTCTTCCATTTGTGGGGAGAAAGACATGTAATATGGAAAACAGAAGGGCACATAGGGGGCTTGTGATATTTGGTCAAGTTTTGGTTGTTGACCTTTGTGGTTACATGGCCTTATTATTCTTTACCGTGAGCATATACCTGCCCCTACAGTCTGTTGTATATTTATTTAATGATGATATACTGTAGTTATTCTTACAGAACTAATAATAACTAAGACACATTAAGAGGGCACTCTGTGCTAGGAAGTTATAATCTTGCCACACACAGTAGCCAATCTTTACCCCTCTTTGTTGATATATTAATATTATTCTCTTACAGATGAGATCATTGAACACAGTTCTATTAATTTGCTCTTCTCATTGTGGTAGAACCATATCTGTAACACGAGTCAGGGGCCAGAATCCACCATGTAAGAATACCATGACTATAATTATTATTTCTTTAGGTTTGAAGCGTAGGAATTCCATCAGACACCATAATAGCATGAATAGATTCTCTCTCAAGGAGTGTGTACTCCAGTTCCAGGTTTGCCAGGCTATTTATTTCCCATTTGATCTTCAATACTCTTGACAAGAGAGGAAGGGAACCTCAAAGAGTAATAATCAGTCTCGAGTAAACATGATATTTTTCTCTACATAATAAATTGGAATTCTGGATTAAGCATAAGTCTCCTGAGTTTAATTCCAGAAAACCAGTTTTCTCTGACTGCACCAACAAAACACAGGATCTAGACTAGAAAAGCTAAGGACCACATTCCAATTCCAAAGGTTCTTAACCAGAGATAATTTTGCCCTCCTGCTCCCCACTTCCAGTAAACATTAGCAATATCTGAAGACACCTTTGTCATCACAACTAAGAGAGGATACTTCTGGCATCCACTGGGTTGAGTCCAGGGGTGCTGTTAAACATTAGACAAAGCATAGGGTAGCCTTCTACCACAAAGAATGGCCTGGTCTCAAATGTCAGTAAGTGCCAAGGCTGAGAAACACTATTCTACAATCTGGTAACGCAACTCAGCAAACTAGTCTTCTCCTGGAGTAATCTCTCAGCTAGAACTTCCAATGATTATTAGCTCTAATTTTTAGGTAATTTTCAAATACAAATAAAGATTATTCAGTGCACGTGGGTTTACAAGCATTTAAGTAGGGGCTTTTCAAACCGGAAATAACATTTTAACTATTTCAGCCTAAAACATAATTGCATTTTTAAAAAATTAAGTGCTATATCAGATTGGCTTATCATCCTGGTCCCTTTACTGCTGAGCCACGGCAAGATTCTTGGTAAAAAGGGGTACAGGAGACCATGGAAGTCTCCATTCACTAGTGAAATTTAGTAATAGAGTAACCAAACATTTCATGGAAGGTTGTACAATTGAATATGCAGCTGGGTACTTTGAGTTCATCATTGTTTTCTTCAGTTAGAGAACAAATGAACATCACTCTCATTACTCCATGTTTATCCTAAACTGTATTACATTTTATTTGACTTTTCTCAGTCATATTAGAATTTCCACATTAACCTTGATATCAGTTGCAAACAGTGAAACTATAGCTTTAGTCTTTTCATTAAAAAATTTATGTACACTAGTTACATCTACAATATGTTTTAATGAATTCTGTTAGTATATCTACATTAGAAAATAGTATGCTGAGTCATTTTCATACACATACACCATATACACACAAATCTATGGCTTTCTGTTCAACATC